ATGAAAGCCTCACATAATCTATTATAAAATAAATTACATTCTGTAAGGATTCTGTAAGGAACGTTGTTTTTATAAAAATGAGCGTTTTTTTATGTGTTAATTAGCTTAGCATTAAAAATTTTTATTTAGACTTGACATTGGTCATAGTTTTTCACCTGCGTATCCATGAAATTTCAAACTTAAGGAGTCCAGATAAATGTACAATTCAATTGTAGACAGTCCAGATGCAATTTTAGGCTTATACTCTCCTCTATCTGACTTAAATTATGGATTAAGTGCCAAAGCCATTAACATAACTGCCTTGAGTCACAAGTCCTGGTACCTGTTTTTGGCTCATTTTGTAATGTTAGCTTCCAGATACTCAGACCTCACTCCAAGGAATTTTCTTTTTGACTGAAGCATATATTCAGTATAAACAACACATATGTATATACATATGACACGTTTAAAAGAAGAAGAAAAATTACAAATAAAAGGGTGCTAGGCAAGAATGGCTTGCCTTCTCCATCTTAGCCTCCTTTCCTTCCCTTCCCTGACCACTGGTCCTGTGGGCTCTTTTCCAGTGAGGACTTGTGAATGGTGGGGAGGTGTGGATTAAGTTTTGGAATATGATAAAGGCACATCTCTAGAGTCAGACAGCAGTGATTAAATGTTTTGCTTAAAATTTCCCAAGCCTAATTCTGAGCTTAAAAATAACACAGTTACAGGTTAGAGAGAAGGGAGAAGCGCATCAAAGACACAAATTGCATTGGTGAAGTGTGGCCTTGCTGAATGAATGTGGACACTTGGCTATGTATTCCCCCAAAAGGAGGGACAAATGTGGATCCACTTATCCTAGGACGGGATTAAATATATATTCCAGGGTTGTGTGTGTATATGTGTATGTGTAGGTATAGGTATATGTGTAAAAGTGTGTGTCTGTTTTTGAATAAGCACTCAACAGTTGTTATCTGTAAAATATTTGTAAAGTACATGACCATGATAATACCTTCTAGACATCTTTGACCTTCTTCTATCTGTAGTCAGAATTGTAGTTGATTATTTCATAGGCCTTTTTTGGAATCTAAGGGAGTTCAAAGTCATTTAACATTAATTAATTCTTTGAAATTAATACAAATGACTATAAAATATGGCACAAGCCCTAAATTCTACATAGACTATTTACATATAATGAAAATGCATATAATTAAAATATTATTATTATAAAAGAACACCTTTTAAATTACAAAGAATTACTTCAAAATGAGTGTCACAAGCTCAATTATACAAATTACTTAAAGAATACATGATGTTCAAATCATAATTGTTTTGGATAGGAAAATTAAACACATTTTAAGCTTTAGATTTCTTCAATTGTTTTAACTCTCAGAATTTGCTATAATGCAGTCAACCAGAGAGACTTTAAAATTATGAAAATATTTTTATTTTTTTCTTAAGATTTCATGAAATGAAAATAAAAGTTGTGTGGAAATCATTCTCAAGACATAGTTTTTAAAAAAATTATGTTGTATTTAATAATTACTAATTTTCCATTCACTGTCTTTATACTTCTTTCTTACTTTCTTATTTATACCATCATTTTTATGATTCTAATGGCAACTTATCAGCTTTTTGGGAATTTATTTTTTTATTTTTATTTATTTATTTTTGAATTGGAGTCTCATTCTGTCACCCAGGTTGGAGGGCAGTGGCACACTTCTCTGCCCCTGCAGCCTCAGCCTGCTGGGCTCCGGCGATCTTTCCGCCTCAGCCTTCCAAGTAGCTGGAACTACAGGCATGCACTACCAAGCCTGGCTAATTTTTGATTTATTGTAGAGACGAGGTCTCGCCAAGTTGCCCGGGTGGGTTTCAAACCTGCGGCCTTAGACAATCCATGCGTCTCGGCCTCCCAAAGTGCTGGGATTACAGGCTGAGCCACCGAGCCCGGCCTTTAGGAATTTAAATAATTTATTATATAATTTTAATTTTTAGCAATTGTTTTTAATTTGAAAATAATTTAAAGTATTGTTGAGTTAGACTATATCTATTCACATATTTTTATTTTGAAAATATTCATGGTTCTGTGTTTCCTCTTTTATAGAGCTAAAAGAGATAATTGGACCATCAAAACATTTCTCCATCTATGGAAAGTTTCTTCTATCATAATTCTTAACATGATCTAATGAAGAACGATTAAATTCATTTTTTGCTCAAAATGTTCTGTCTACTATTAAATATTTCCGGGTGGCAGTATGAAACAGATGGAATATCAATGCTGATTTATTACAATCTCAAGTTACAGATCAAAGTTAATCTTATAAAGGCACATACATAATCCTTCTTTTTTCTCTTTCCCTTTCATACATGTGTATATTACAATTCCTCGAACAAACTTTTTCTCACTCCACTTATATGAGAGACTTTACACTAATATGATTTAAAAAAAAAATTCTTTGCTCCAGCAAATCTCTAGAATTGCACCACAATTAGGACAGCCTAGATTAGAATTATTTAGAAGCCTAGAGTAAAATGTGTATTCCTCTGAAAATTTATTTGGTAAGCAACTGTAGGTTTCTGGAACATCAAATGTATTTGACTGAGCACTGATTAGATATGCTGTCTCTAGTTAGGAGTCCAGACTTCAAACAATTCCAATATTCCAAGCACCTGGGGCACTAAAGCCACACCCTTTACCCTTGACCTAAGCTAAAGTCTTCTCTACCAATTTCATTGATTAATAGGCTTCCTAGTCTATTACAGAGTCATTGAAGCAAACAAAAGTCAGAAAGGTGAACTTTTTAGTAGTTGAAATATTTGGTGGTCTAACATAATGGAAGAAGACCCAGACAATAAGACTGTTAATATGTGTAATGTCTCAGTCATTTTAAAAAATTATATAGTATTCACTGGAACATAATTTTCAATGCATATGTGGGAATTTCACTAATCTGAAAAATATATAAGCCTGGAAATCCTCTTTCTCGCAGTGTCACATAATAGGAAGAACTGGATAGAATGTTAGGAATTTAAATTTTATTATTGGTATACGTATATAATACTTATCAAAATATCTCTTATTTGGGGACAATTATTTTAGAATAAATAGGAAATTTGATTGTTAAAGAATAATCATTGTCAACACTGCCATTTAATGCAGGAAATGCAGAGCTTAGTAAAGTTCGCAAAAGGATACAAATTCTAGTTATTAATTATAAACATCAGAAAACCACCTTGTGTTTATATAGCACCTGTTTCTTAGTAGATGAGAGAACAATGACATAGAGTTTTTATTTTGTGTGTGTGTATTTGGCTTTTATTTTGTTATATTAATCAATACTTGTTATACACCTGTGTAGGTGGAAAGATGTTGGTCTCAATCATGTTTTACTAATTTGAGGATAGATTGAGAAATGTAGGTGATTTGAAAAAGTTCCAATAAAGACCTTTTTCATGCTGGCTTGGAATTGCCTAGTTTTCTCCAACATTGGTTGCTAGAGCTGCCATTTTTATTTTTGCACCAAGTTTTTCCATGAATTTTTTTTAAATCACTTTCTTCTTGTTCCTTCTTTTCCAGGTATCCACAAGGTAGAGAAGAAAAGTAGTCTCAATGTTTTCATTAGATTTTTTTCTATACAAATAATATTGCTTAGTGTCTCTAACTGCAAAGTAGCCTCTCTAGTTGACTGATTATCCTGTTGAAACTCTTTGCAATTGCTGATGTCATAATAAACCACCACAAGTTTGAAACTTTTCCTTCTGTTTTGCCACAAAGAACATAATGCTTAGCTGCACTTATGTGTTTTCAAATTCATTTACTCCATATAAAAAGCCAATGTTTTTTTTGAGCTCTGAGAATAAGAATTTTGTCTTCAAACTACCATTTTTATTGGAAAGGCCAGAGTTATAGATTTTGTTTTGCTCATAAATTAATTTTACAATGAGTCTATTAAAGTTTATTGGATTCTTCAAAGTCCCATTTGACAAGTAGTATGTTCCCTCTTCCTGCCCAATTTTTCCATATTGAACTCCTAGCTACCCAGCTCTGATTTTTACCACCATAATTATATAAATTAAGATGATATATTTGCTCATATATGATTATTGAATGTGTGATATGGAAAATAAAATAAAAATGAGATAAGGAAGATGAATATATTTATTCTCATATTCTGGTGATTTTTGAGTCATGTAATTTTCCTTTAAAGTCTTAACATGCAAGCAGTTTACTGAATTAAGTTTTAGAGTGATTTATATTGAAACTGAATGCCACTAACTTATGAAAATTTTATCAAACTAAATTAATCAAATATAGATTTTTAAAATTTAATTTTGGTAAAGAAAGTTCAATTTTTACTATGTTTTAAAATTTATAAAATAGAGAAGTAAACATAATGCAGTTTACTATTAGGAGCTTGAAAGCCATTAACTAACAGCAGCTGCCTTTTATTTTTATTATGTGAGCTTCTGTGTACATAATGGACTATAACATCTTCACTCTTCTATTCCACTTTAATTTGTTACCTTTGAAAAGTCTGGAGGAATAAATTGTTGTGTTTTGCTTTATAATAATCAATAAATCTCTTTCTAAATGATGGTTAACCTTTTTCAGCTCTAACAAACTCCATTAGAATTGCCTTCTTATTTGCATTGTGAAGGGAAAAAAAATCTGGCATGTAATGAGTTAGCATGCAGTGATTGCTGTCACGCAGTAGCACATGCACACTCAGTTCCACAGTTTGTGCTAACAACCATTGTTGGACCAGGCATTTCTCCAAAGCTCATGAGTTAGGGAATTGTAATTATAGCAAGTTGTATATTATAAATAATGCATGTATGTTCCGCATGAGCTATGTGGGATTTCGGCCCATTTGCTAGAACATAGTTGCATAATGATTTGTTTGGATTTTGTTGCAGATGATTGATAGTGCAGAATGTTGGCAATGATGTAAATTACTGTTGGGCTGCCTTGAAAATTTCAGTACAAGTGGTGATTTCTTCTCTTTTTCTGTGTGCTTGTCTAGTCTCGGCAGACACCTGAGGGTGAGTTCCTTCCCCTTGACCAACTTGAACTGGATGTAGGTTTTAGTACAGGGGCAGATCAACTTTTTCTTGTGTCCCCCCTCACAATTTGCCACGTGATCGATGCCAAAAGCCCCTTTTATGACCTATCCCAGCGAAGCATGCAAACTGAACAGTTCGAGATTGTCGTCATCCTAGAAGGCATTGTGGAAACAACTGGTGAGTAGAAACATAGATATGCCATCAAGTTTCTTTATTCCATAATGACATTATATGATATGCACAAATGCCTTCATGAATTGGGCTAAATGACTTACAGTTCACAGTAATGAAAGTAACGATTTGCTTCTTATTTCTGTGTAACATTAAATTGATACTATTTTGAAAATTAAAATTTACTGTTTTAATGGTACATGGGTAATATTAACTCAGGGATATTCACTATGAAAAAAGGAAACTGAGAAGATTTCTTGGAAATGATTATGATGCTCTGTTTTAATTACAAACTTTAGTTTCCTATAATCATAGTTTTTCTTTAAAGATTTAAAGTTAAAAATTATGGGGTAATTAGTGAGGAGTCTGAACTCAGCATGCATATTCTAGTCTCGGGGGTGGTGGTTTGGGGTGTCATTGATAGAGCTTTGATATCTACTATGTGCAACCTCAGTGGAAAATTCCCTGTATGTGTGTCTTTGTGCTGTGTGTGCTCAAGCAGCATTTTCATTTCAAAGTGGGTCAGTAGATTTTCCCAGCTGAACCTTGACCAAAAAAAATTTTTTAAGAGATTTTTCTTGTTTCTCTGCTTTGTATAGCTATATGCTGTATGTTCTTCCTTAAGATGCAGTATAACATTGGTGTGCCCCAAATACTCACAATTTGCTACTCTCTGAGAAGAGTTAGGTTGGCAAAGGAAAGAAACAAATATGAGCATATTACCTGGGACCTAAACATTGCCCAGTTAGTTTGGAGCCTGCAGGATGTTTTAGACTATTGATATAGTATTCATATAATTTTATATTTACATATGTGTGTATCTTGAGTTTTACACTTTCTACAAGTAAAGAGATTGCAAGAAATATTTTAGTTCTAAATTTTTTCTACCAATATTACCTGAATCTTAAAATGATAATGATTATGTATAAACTATAGCATTATTGAAATTAACATTGATAATAACAGAGGTAAATTCAAACTTCATACCAGGATGGAAAATCTTTGTTTATATAATAGTCAGCTTTGTCCCAGGAGCTGGGAGAGGCAAGCCATTGTAATTTTAGCACATCTGTCACGTAATACCTAGCTGAAATTTAGTCAAGATATTTAATCACTAAAAGCTTAGCTTGTTTTCTTTCTCTTCAATATGAGGCTACTATAATAACCATCTCAAAGCTGTTGTTACTATTATTTTATTACTAGTGCTTCAGTTTAAAAATTAAGACTTTTAAGGACAGTGAGAAAAGATTTTAATCTCTATATGAAATTTTATTTCTGTGTACAATTTTATTATTTAAGTCCCCTCTTCAGATTTTCAACTTAAAACTGAAATGATGTCATAGTATTTTTAAAAAATACCATATGTTGGTAAAGAGTAAAACCAGTATATAGAGGTTCTTGGTCCAAGAAATCTTTTTTTTAAACTACTCACCTCTCATCATTTTTAAGAAATCTTTGTTTCAATTTTTATTCATCTAATTTATTAAAGTAATAATGTGTTGCTAGAGCTTAAAAACATATGTTGCCATTTTTATTGTTTAATTATTTATAGCGTGTTTTTTCTTTTACACACCTGTTTTTAGTTTACTAAGTGCTTATTATTATTCTAATCACTGACCTGAATGAATTTTTGTTTTATTTGACAGCCTTAAAAGTCTTTTATTGGATCTATCTACTTATCTATCATTCTTTTTTTTCCCCTGTTTTTCCCTAAATTCTGTACATATTTCTTAAGAGTGAAAGCATTTTCCTATAAAATTTCAATCTAAAGGTGGAATCATTTTCAATATTATCTTGAGTTTCTTGTTCTTGATGTACTTGAAGAATATAGGTCAGGTATTTTGTAGAATGTTTCTCAATTTGGATATATTTAAGGTTTCCCTATTCACTAATTCTTTTGATTGTTGGTTTCTACATTGGTATCTTAAGGGAAGAGTAGAGCAGGTTGTTTTTAAATTTGCCTATTTTTTGGAGAATCATAATAAATAATATCCCATATAAGATCATGAAGAGTTTTGTAACATATATTATTTATGGGAATTATTGAGTTCATTTTAATTGTTCTCACTTCTTTTTAGATAATTAATTGGCAGAGAATACTTTCCATAGAAATTGTGAAAACTTGGCTGGAAAATGAATTTCTTATTTGGAGACTGCCTTTTATGGAGGAGAGATTAAAATTCACTTCCTCTTAACCTCTTAATTAAACCTGTTTTCTAGATCTAATATAGCAAGACAAACAACAAAACCATTACTCATAATTTATAGAATTTATTCCGTGGAAAAATTTTCTGACATTCTGTTTGTCTGTTTGCCCTTACTAATTAAATCCCACACTGTTCAAAGTCTGTAAAATCTCTCTATATTTCCAGACCTCCCTGTGCTTGATAAAAATAACACAGACATTTTTATGTCTCTTTGGTCATTTAAAATTTTTCTAAAATGTTTCCTCTTTATCCTTTCATTCACAATACATTTTACTTTTTCATTGCTTAGAACACAACTCATGATCTTTTGGGATTGCTTGAGGCAGCAAGAATACCATTTTTACCTCTCTTTACCTTGTGTATAAACTACTCGAGGGACCTTTCTATCATATTTAGCATTAAAAATGAACTTTTTATCATTCACTCATTCATTTATTAGATAGTTATTTATTGAATGTATATTGTGTACTGAAAATATGTGAGATGCTGGAAACACAGGTGACCTGGATCGACAGGATTACTTACCTCATGGGAGTATATTTTAAATTTTAAGTGGAAAAAACAGACCACAGAGCACAAATAAATAAGCAAGATATTATCAGATAACAATGTGTTAGGAATAAAAATCCCACTCTGGCAGAAGGATTACTTGAGTCTGGGAATTTGAGGCTCCAGTGAGCTCTGGTTGTGCAACTGCCATCCAGTCTAGTTGGCAGAGTGAGACCCTGTCTCTAAAAACAAAACAAGGTAATGGGATAAAGAGTTCATGCTTTAGGTTACTTTAGGTTGATGGTCAAGGCAGGTCTCTCTGTGGGTGAGGGGGAAAGGACACTTAACCTGACATCTGACTGTCCATAAGGCCCTCCTGGGCCAGTCTGGGGGAAGAGCATGGCAAGCGCTGTGGAGCAGCTGGTGCAAGGGCCTTGAGTGGGGAATGAGCTCAGTTTATTCTGGGAACGAAAAGAAGGCGGAGGTGGTTGGAGCAGAGTTAACAGTGTGGAGAGTGGGGTGAAAAGAAGTCAGAGAGGGAGAGGGGCCATCCCTGCACCGTAGATGATTTTATTGCACCAGCAGGAAGTGTTAGGCTTTCATTAAAGACCAGAATCTGTATTTACATAAAAATAAATAATTTAGTAATCTCAAACTGTTTATAACAAAAAATCAACTTTTTCTAGTGTATTGCATGTAGTGTATTTAAAAACTAGTCTCACTGGTGTCTCACAAATGCATGCAATTTTAGAGAGTTACAACTTTGTTGTTAATCGTATTCCCTTCTCTGTCCCCCTACCCTTACACCTCCACTCAGTTGCTGCTTGCACAGCAGTGGTCTGGTAAGAATCTTTTCATTTCAGTTAGTTTTTGTTTATTCTCATTCTCATAATTTCAGCAGAAGTGGTTGGGGGGGGAAGTGAGAAATTAGAAGCTTTCTAATTTCCTTGAAAGTTTCAGCTTTCCAACAGAGACTCACAATTATTACTTTCCCTCTTTTCTTGGAAATACTCCTCAGTGATCAGATGACATTGTAGCCCTCCTAGCTTCAAATGAGTTGGATTTTCATTTCCAAACTTTGGTCTTTATTACTAGTCTTTGCATCCTTGCTCATCTGGCAAATTCCTAAACTTAGGTTACCTACTAACTCTTCCTCTCTTTGCTTCTCCCAGGGGAGAGAGCACTGCTAGAGGCAAACAAAGCATTGCAGATTTGGCTCATTAGAACTCCATGCTTTCAAACTTCAATCTGGTTTCTGCTGCTATTTGGCAGTTTTTAAAATTGTCTTTTCGGTACTCTCAGGCTTGCTCCCCATGAGATCTATTTTAGACCTATCTCTCTCTCCATGCCCCCAGGCCCAGCTGTCCCATTCCTTCCTTGGCATGTCATCTCTCCACCTGTTCTATCAAAAAGAATATGACACTTCAACTTCCCCACATTTTCTTATCTGTTTATCCCTTTCTCATAGTCATCTTCTTTCTCTTTCCTGGTGTCTGTGGGCACAGTGTCTTTTTTCTTTGCCCCAAATCCTCTCTTTTAATGCTACTGTTTGTTATGCATTTCTTCCCAACACCTGTGACTTAAGCGCCAGTTCTTACCATCCTTGACATCTAAAATCCCATTGACTCCTTTCTATATGCTCTGAAATATTTTCACGTCTTTCCTAGATGGAAACAAATGAAACCCCAATTATTTGTCTAATTATACTTTTAAGGTACTTCCTGGGATTAAGAGACACTACATTCTACTCCACTCTCCCCCGCTTCTTTCTTATAGTTTTAATTGTTTCTTATAGCCTACATCACTGCCCCTTCCTACCCCTCCTCTTACCTGTATATATTTTCTTGTTCTCTGCTGTGGCCTTTTTTGTTTTCCTTTCTAGTCTAGATATTTGCTTTTGTAGTGAATTCATGAAGTACTCACAAATATACCATTCTTTTTGTCTCCAGCTATGATACCTCCTGCTAGATATTCTTGCATTTGTTATTAATTTCTAGACCATTTTTTCACTTCACTATTTTAATTCAGAATCACTTGTCTGAATACCAAGTCATCATCTTACCCTCATATTACAACCTAATTTGGAAAGTTTATCTCTATTAATGATATCTATTTTATACCAGCCCCTCCCTTTTCCTTTTTATATCCAATTGATTGGTTCATTCCATAAACACCTGTTGAGCACCTAGTACAGTCTAAACATTATTCTAGACCCCAGAGGACACATGAGTTAACAAAACAAAATACCTGCCCTATGGGTACTTATAGTCTTATGTGGGCATAATGAAGTTAATGCATAATGAAGTTAAT